ATGATGATGATGATGATGATGATGATGATGATGATGATGATGATGATGATGATATCTTGATGGATGTCTTTATATATCATCCCTTCGTACGTCTCTTCACCTCTTCTACGTTCCGGCCAGCCCTGCATCGCCGGACTCGTGATGTCGACATCAGTCTCCGGGTGACTGGTCCGGGTGGCTGGCCAGGCTACTTGTCCGACTACACGGGCAACGGAGAGTTCATCAGTGACCGAGAAACCTGCGTGACAAGACAAAATAAGACCGGAGAGGTGGGAGGTGAGAGCTGTGAAGGGGGGGGGGGGCGTGCTTGGGCGCCCGTCGGACGGGCTCGTTCTTTTCGGAGCCTATCGACGGAGCCGGAGCCAGGTGGTTTGGCAGGTCTCGCTATTGGACAGGGTCCAGGAAAGTGTGGGATTTGTGTGGATTGCTATGGGACATCCAGTGTGTCCTGGAGGGTTATAGACGTTTTTTTGCCAGCAGAATCGAAGGTGGTACAGGCAAGGCGTCCAAAATGAATCATAGGAACATATAGGAACGCATGGGTATGACTCCGGGCTCTCAATGACCGGTTCATGCGTTTGCGCTCGTTTTGTCGTGCATTCATTCTTGCAATCTCCAGAAAGCCAGTATAGATGTGACGAAGAATTGTCAGTTCAGACGTAGAATTGCCCTTCAAGCAGAAGGCAGAGATATCAGTTGATGTTCTTTAGAGTTCAGGACAAAAAGTAAAAAATGACATATAGTCCAACTAGCCGATGGTACTGCTTGCTGATTGACAGATCTGATCAAGTTTCAAGTCATTAGCGTGATGCTACGTGGAAAAAAACAGAGAGGAACCAACTGGGGATCCTTCGAACGCCTATGGACTGCGGATTCTCATCCTTCTCATCAACCCATTTGACAGGAAACCAACAACTTCCTGAGGTTGCTGCTGATGCCACTTGCCCCTGTGGCAAGAACACGGCCAAGTGGCTGGTTTGCATCTGTGTCCGTTGCTGGATGTTCGCCGCCGGATTTCTTGCCGGATTAAGCTTGAAGCAAACTCAGCGTTTTCCAACATTGTGGCCACTGATGCAAGCAAAAACTGTCCATGACGAGGAGCTTGTTGGCTCGTGGGTGGGCCTATGATTAATATGAAGAGAGCATGAACATTATGAAATGGGGATCCTGGTGTTCTATAAAATGGAAGTCCATAGATGTCCATAGATCATTGAGGTAGTTTGATTTGTAGCTTTGGACGCCGCATGAGGTGCGCCAACACCGACTTGTGCTTGACGACAGCTGAAGCAGCCATTGTGTGCCCCTGCAAGGCCCCTGGGCTTGCAGGTTGGAGAGAAAGCTATGAGGTACCAGATAGTGGGCCTGTCAGTTGTGGCTTAGTCAGGCAGAAGAAGATCCACCCTGGATGGGAAATAGAGTCCAGCCAGCAGCCACACCAGGCATCCGAGACAGAATGCTTAGTAGTCGACTATGACAAGAATGGCCGCTCGACATGTTTGCGCGATGCTGCCTGGGTGTCGGGAAAAGTGTGGAATGTGTGAAGAGTGTTTTTAGAGCTCTGGTGGGACTGGGATTTTGGAGAGTCTGAGAGATGTACAGAGTCTTCTGTATCCATCCGAGGAGCGTCACCACTTTGGTGTATAGGTTGGTGCTCCAACAATCTGTTGGAGATGTGTGCAAGCGCTATGGCGCTTGAACGCTGCCTCCAGCCACGAGTGGCCCAGGCTGTGGCAGTGGCCCAGACTACACACACTGGGTAAACCTGTGTCCAGGATGTGGTGCGTCCTGGTAGACTCGAACCGCTGGATTCAAGAGGCAAATTCCACACACAGATATATGTACGACACAGGTTTCCCCGAAGTATCCTTGCAGGTTTCCCCGAATTAGTTTAAGCATGAATACAAGGGAAACATCTACAGGAAACCATGGTATCACCCCTAAAACTATGAGTTTCCTGTGGATGTTCCCTTAAACCAATTCTGGGAATGTGTGCCAGAATCAGAGTGCTTGAGCTCCAGAAAACCTTTCCTCTGCTTTTGAGGCGAGGCCACTGGCTTTACAACTCAATGCGTCAAGGAGGGCCAGTCCTGTCCGTGTGGCAAGAACACCTTGAGCTGCCCTGACCCGAATGATGCCACTTGGTGGATAGGGCTGCATGGATTTGGATGGACTATGATGGATTGCAGTTTATTGCAGGTGCGCGAGTCGCTTCCAAGGGAGGATTTCAAAGGCCCAGCCTGAGCGAAGATCAGACTGGTGAACAATTTAGGGATGCTAAGAAGTCCTGTTGAAATCTCAAAGATAAGAACAAGTACCAGAACTTGCAGAAATATCTAGTTATACATTGCTTTTGGTCAAGGCGATCTTCCAAGATCACCAAGATCCAAGCCCCGCTCTCCAACCAACTCTCGGCCGCTGCAGCTGTTTCGGAGCGCCCTTCACCTCCGAGGCGTTGGCCAAGCTGTGCGCGCCCTCCTTCAACACGAAGAAATGCCCCGAGCCCTGCACCGCCGATGCCATCGCCGCAGGAGAATCCATGCCACGAACCGCAGCGGGTTTCGCGGGGAGGTGTGATGAGCTCTAAACTGATGTGGGGATGCCTTTTTAATGTGAGCCCTGCTTGAACAAAAGTTGGAAGTTGAACGTTTTTTTTAATGACATTGAACCATTTTTATCATTGAACGTGTATCAAGACTTCCTAGGTCAAAGAGTTGTTTGTGTGTGTGTGTGTGTGTCCCCAAGGAAAGGCACCGAGGACCAAGTAGTTTCTTTTTCAAGCATGGGGGAAGTCTCCGGACTGAAGTTGGTAAGTGCACCACTAAATACAGAAACAAATGGTATATACGGTATTACAATGGTATAGTTACTGGCAACACACTTGCTCCCTTGCGTTTTTAGGATGTGCTTTTGACATTCATGCTTTCCTTTTGGCCTGACAGGTCTGGAGAAATGCCACCTGACATACCCAAGCAGGATCTAGCAGTGCTAGCAGGATCTAGCAGGCCTTGACCGCTTTGGCCTCGCAGGGAACATCACGTGCGTGCAGACCAACATGAACTCCCAGGGGAAGTTCAAGTCGGAAACGGCGACTGGGAGTATGAAAACCCTGGAGTATCGATGGGTGGAAGTGGGTCAGCGGCAGGGGTCAGCGGCACGAAGTGAAGGTCAGAGTGAAGATGGGTATACTTCGGTACTTGCTTTTAGTAAAATGGAACATGAATTATATCAGCTTGGGAATTGTAGCATCAGCTTGGGAAGGCTTCGCATGTTTTAGTATGGAACACTAGTTTTCAACTACAGTAGTTCCAGAGTAGATGGCACAATCCCCTACGTTTGGTGGTTTACAGAGACCACCATCAAAAAGACATGTAAGGGTGCCAGTGCCATCGAACCTCTGAAACGTACAAACGCAGGTCCGCTGCCTGTGACGCAGGGGACCTGGGGCGTCGTCAGGAAAATCAAATCACAGATGTCCCCAAGTACTTTGGAAGATCCAATTGCTGGCAAATCAAACTTCCTGGAGCCCCCCCCGTTCCTCTCATCTCAAGCACTCAAGAAGGCTAAAGAGTCTAAAGCATTTCCACCACTTTCCACGTCCTGAAACATCACGCTTGTTTAGAGCTTCCACTGCAGCATCCGTGTGCATTTTTCATGACTCGTCGGCTCAGGTCACTTGCATTGGGGCCAACTCCACTTGCCCAGCCGGAGAGGGCATGAAGAATTGCTTGTCGGGGGCGACCATTTCGGTGAAGACGGCTTGCATGAACCTGTGCCTTGGTTTTCCACGCAGTTGGAATTTCCCGCTGAAGCAAACAGGGCGGAGTTCAGTTCGGCCACAGGGTCGAGTCCTGTGTTCAGGGTCGAGTTTTCAGATGTGTTCATGTTTTTACAGTAATGGGGTTGTAGATTGAATAATGCATGTTTGTCCACATGTGTTTTCCTTCATCATCTCTAGTAGCTATTTATAGTTAGATATGTCTATGTTAATTTCATGTGTTTTTTTCTATTTGTTGCACATCAGTTGTTTTTTTATCGCATCGGTTGTCTTATTGTTTGGTTATATGAAAACACAGGTTGATTGTTGTTAAACATATTTTTTGAGAGTGTTTTACTCATGTTGTTTGTTTTGTGGTCTTGTTACACTTCAACATCACCACAACTTCGCAGTACGAAACAGAAGCGGGCCATCAGGTACGCCACGGGCACAAACACTCGACGTTTGACGTCCAGCAGCACCGCAACCCGGGAGACTTGCAATGCCATTGTCACCATGACCAGCTTGGGCCACTTGGGCGACGCGCCTCTCCAGGTTTTTTTTTGGGGAGACAACCTTCTGGGGAGAATGGAAGTGGATAGCGATAGTGTATTGGTTGGGTTTGGATAGATGGGTAGACTATACCAATTAGGGGCAACTGCGTGGCATGAGTAAACTAGGATCATCACATGATTTCTCTTGATTGGGTGGACTCGAATTCCGACAGGGCAGCCATGACTCCCAGACATGAGAACGGTATGGTATGGGCCCGGTATGGGTAGACTATTGCAAGTACCTCACCTCGTCCCTCAAACGCCCAAAGAGTTGGATCAAAAGCAGCATCCCTGTGCTCGTTGGCGTATCCAATAGGGCTGAAGGACAAGGTCGGCTGCCAAATGGAGCTTGCTTGAAAAATCATCCATTTACCCAAATGTCCCAGCTTCCTCTGAGAAATGCTTGGAGAGAAAATTTGCTTGCCAAGACGTATTTGGACCCAGTCTAACTTCCCTCAATTTCCACATTGTTTTCTTTGGTCGTGAACGTTTCTAGAGAGAACACTCACAGTAGTAACACCCTTGTTTGATCTATTTTGGGGGCCAATCCTGATGCATCTTGCGACAAGTTGACGAAATCCTGTTTGCCTTTTGGGGCCATAGAACTCCGACAGCTCTTTTGCTTCTCAGGAGCTGATGCCACGAAGAATGCAGAGACGGCCAGGGTGAGGGTCAACAGTGTACCCCCTCGGTTGAACGACCGCCCACGTCGCTGCATCGGAAGCGAGTTCTAAGAGACCTAGCGCAGTCAAGCAGTCAAGAAGAGTGGAGGCTCTTCAGGAGCCACTAGAACAAGATCTCTTCATATTCAGGATGAAGTGAAGTGCCGTATATGGCATTTGCGGGGAGTTTTAGGCCCCGCAATGAAATCAAGCAGAGTGAGTCTCCTATAGTATACACTCCCTGGAACTAACATGGAGGTGGATGTCATTCTCCTTGGAAGACCATGAAATTCAAATACCAAACAGGTGCCATCCACGTAACCATGATGATTCCAGGTATCTTCCGCCTCACTGGAAGTGGAAACAGACCCCTGGGAAGACGATTTTCCTCTACGGAGAGGGTGGGGAAACCACTTCCATGTTAGTGAATGGAAGTGTGTGTGTGTGTGTTGGTCCAAGTTGTGGATTAACCCATGAGCACTTTTGGACTTTCATGAACACTTTGCTCCTCACGAAAGGCTCTGGTCGCCAACCCAGTGAGCGATTTGTATAGACTAATAATCGTCAAAAGAACCGTATCCAATCCCTGTCTTCCAAGACGAACCTGATTTCATGATAGAGGAGTCCCATGCTGCGTGATGGTTTCAGATTGTTAAACTATTCACCCTTTGGGATGATTGGGATGATTGTTCCCCCATGCTGAAAGACGACCGACCACCGGTTCTGCATGTTCGGTTGAACCGGGACCCGCTCCGCAGCTCGGACCGGCGGGCCTCGGACCGTCGGAAGGGAGACTTCCAACGCTTCAGCTCATGTGTTGGAGAAGCCATCCGCGGTTGTTTCGTTTGAAGAAACACATGCAAAGACACTCCAGCAACATCCCCTTGTTTGGATTTGTTTTGTGGTCCCGGATGTGGAGGGGTCAATATAATTTGGTCTTATTTGGTCATAGTTTGGCAGGGTTTCAGGATCAGAGGGTCGCCTTTTGGTCAGGTACTCCAGATTCCAAGTGGTCTCAAGACCACTTTGGCTGTGAAGGCTGCAACTCGCTTCTTGGTTGATATCGAGCGGGGTATGCCAGCTTGGCTGGCCTGGCAGTATTGATAGAGTTCATGATGTGGGAAACTCAACCCAGTGGGGGGGTAGTGTGTGCGTGTGTGAGACAGGTTCAGGTGGTTGCCTCAGGCACACGTCGTGAGAGGTCTTGGAAGGACAGCCGTTTTAGGTCGTCTCTTTGGGGCGGCTTATGCTGTACGAGAAGATGCGGACTGCAAAAGGCCGCGAGGTACAGGTCGTTAGGCGCCACCCTGGCATGAGGCGTCCTTCGCACATGCGTGTGGTATTTGAATAGAGGGAGACCCATCGACAGGGTAGACTGGTCTATTTCTCTTCTTCCGGTGTCTTTGAGTCGAGAGGTCTCCCTATTTTGATACCCACATATTTGCAGCAAGTTGTGTCACATCAATCCGAGACAGACAAGCTTGGCCCCAGATCCACTGAGGTCGTCTGAAAGAGAAGGAGCGTGCGCTGAACTCTGGAGGGACCATCATCTACGGCATCGACAACCAAGGAGAGAGATGGGAGCGTCATGAGAGCAGCATAGAGCAGGAAAGGAAATCATTTGTGAAAAGAAAGAATGGCAGGTCAAAATAGAGTTTTGATAGAACACACATAAACGCTTGCGCTTTTGTTTTCAATCATCCCTGCCATCGACAACCACTTTGAGATATAGATAGACAATAGAGATGCTTTAAAACCACATCTTGGCGATGTTGGGCGGGATTGGCCACCCCATGCCATTCCTTCATTGGTGTAATTTTGAAGAGGAAGGGGATTTGATACAGATTTCCAAGCCTTCTGGCTTGAGGAGAATCTTGTTTCAAAGCTCAGCCTTCCAGGTCGCGATCTCAAAACATCTCAGAACCCCAAGGATTTGAGGCCCCTGACATCCCCAGACCCTTCCAGGCTTCCACCATTCGATCCTTTTGTCCTTGTGTCATCGCATTCCATCGATTCGAAGAGAACAAAAATACATCCTTTTGATTTGGACATCGCGCCAGGATTCGCGACTTCAGTGAGTCCTTCACAGGTTTGCGAACAGTTGAAGAAGATGGTGAAGAGTAGCAACCCTTCCTTGACCGAGGCGAGTGAAACCAAAAAGCAAACGACCGATGGAGCGGTGGATGTGGGGGATCACAGGTCGACCTCATTTTACTGGAAATGGTCAAAGAAACACAATACTCAAGGAGGTAAAAGACCAGGATTTTACTGGGTCTTTGGACGTGTAGGGTACATTATTCTGAGTGTATATGATTGTAGGTATAATATGTATATATTGTAGATGCAGGTTTTTGTTTGGCTTCTGAATAGATCATGAATGTTGCGATTGACCTGCCGGGAAGGTCCTTCTTCAATTCGGGATCGTCCAAAAAGTATCCAATATGTTGTTAACTTGCTAAATTTGATGTCATAAAATCATGTGTTTTTGGTGGGAAGACCTGGGATTCCTTGTTATACAATGGAGTGGGGGCACAAAACACTTAGTATTCAGACACGTGTGACGATTGAAATGCAGCCTGGGTCGGTTGAAGTGGTCAAAATTGGTGAAACCCTAATGAATTCACCAAGTGTTTGCCAGGTTATAATTTGTTCTGTTTAGTGAATTGTTCTATTTCACAACATGTTGATTATGATTAATGTCTTCACCATTATTCACGCACGGCTTCTTGGGACAAACAGAACAGTTCTCAAGGCAACCTTCATATGTTAACAGTTGTCATTTAACACTTATTCACATTTAACAGAAACACAAACTGAAAACAACACTTAATACAGCCCTGATTAGCAGGTTGCTATACCTGCCAATCCGGATGCCCCCCCAAAGCACCACGTCTTTCCTGGTGGCCCTCGCCTGCACAAGAGCAACGAGGCCGTCAGCGGTGTGGGAGTCATCAACGCACAGGTGCGCTCAGCATACGCAGTGCATGGCCGGGCTGGGCAGGCTGAGCGGTACGTTACATGGAAGAACCTTTTTGAGGGACAACGGGTGCTGGGACTGACTTAAACTATATATGACTCATTATTGGTGTCATGAGTCATGACCCAGCAAAAGAGCAGAACAAGTCGGAGAGTCAATTAAATCGACAAGGGCGAGAGGGGGCGAGAGGCAGCGGAAAGTGAGCAGTTCAGAAACGACAGATACTTGCTATATGAGAAATCTTTCACAAGGCTACCGGAATCCGTCACGGCTGTCAGTTCAGTTCTGCATGGTTGCCCTGGCCACCTGCACAAAGAGCCTCATCGGTCCTACGTACACCTTCAGTCTGATTGTTGACGGGGAATTGAAGGTGGATGCCTACTTGTAGTGCAAGAAGACAAGAACACTCGAAGCATAGCATATATTACATTAACTCATATTATGGAAACCTGGAGGTCATCTCCTAGAATCAAAAGGAGATTCTTACTGTAGGCTAAAGTTCCAGGCTAAACACGGCTAAACTACTCGTATACTCCGCACGACTCGCGGCCCCCAATGGGAGGGAGGTCTCAGCAACCGATGGAGACCGGAGGAGACGGACATCTTCTCCATCCGAGTCGCGTGGAATCGATCCACAGAAACCAAACCCCAGACACGACTAATGGGACTGCCATAGGACTGCTGCCCCATTGACCCCCAAAACCACCCCAATGTAGGCATATATGGCATACATGGAGTGTCTGGGAACAACAAAAACATCAGCGAACTCGACTTGTTCGCAGGTCGTGACGAAAAGCAATTCACTTCTTGACTCCAAAGAGAGAGCCATTGTTGTGCCTTCCTCAGCTGAAGCCGCCCTTCCAGGCAGGCGTCAATCTGGAAATCTCCTCTACAGCTTTGCAGAGTCGAAGCCAAGCCGCCAAGGACGTGAAAGCCGCCCAGGCGCGGATGGGATCGGTTTTTCGTTCAGCTCCGCGCTCGGATCGTTCGGAAGCTCCGCACATGTGACGGCACCGTGCTCAGGCTGGGGTGACGACCCGGACCACCACCACTACGACCACGACGACCGCAGAGACAACGACGACCACGACCGCAGAGACAACGACGACCACGACCGCAGAGACGACGACCACGGGGACAGGGACCACATCGACCACCACGACTACGCAGGGAGGAGTATCTCGTATGTACTAGTGCTGTGCCCGGCGGGTGAGTTTGGTGAGTTTGGGCAAGCAGCGCAGGGACAAAGTCATTGATTGGCGAGCTTTGATGGTGCACCAGATATGTTCCCCACATTGAAGGTGTGCAAGAAGAAATTGGAGACCATTGAAGTTGGAACTTGGAACTGCACAGAACTTGCAATTGCCTTTGAACGTGTGCATCGCAGATGGACCTGAAGAGTTGTTCCCCAAACTGAAGACTTGGGCCCAGATGGACCTGAAGGAAAACTAACATTGATTCGTTCCCACAACCTGGCAACTCAGTTCTCAATTCAGGACCCTTGCAAAGAGCCTCTTTCAGGGCAACTTGGAAGGGCGGATCCTGCAGACCCTATTGCAGGGCACCCTTTTTGGGGGGGTGTCTATACGTATAAGTAAGGATGGTTAAGGGGTGTTCATGAACCACACTGACCAACAAATTTGTGTTCCCCAAACAGTGTAAGGCTTTCTTCCGCTTAGTTTTCTTAGGCAGTTTCCCTAACTCTGGCTGAGCCAGTCAAAACCGGGACAACTCCTTGGCTGTGCGTTCGGTTGACCTCGCCGTGTCGCTGCCATCCGCTGACCAGGACCATTTTTCGGGTTTTCCGGGTGTCTAATGGTTGGATAAGTCCCTCATGTTTAAGGGAAAGGTAAGGGAAGTGTTTTTCCTCCAACCAGTATAGATATAGATGACCAACATCACTACCACGTGATGGTTTGTATCTCCACTTGTGCTGCGTATGCTTGAACCTTTGGCCCTGGATTATTCATTATTAGTGATTATCCTTCTTGGTATAAAGATGAGTATATAAATAGCAAAATTCGATGGACCCCCCGGACAAGTGATCAAGATGCATCACAGAAGGGATCAGTTCTTTGATACCTAATCACAGTTGAATAATGTTGATTTGTTTTAGTTCTTCACCAGCACTTGTAGAATATTCAAAGTTCTTCACACACTTGTACGTGTTTCGTGTCGTTTGTCGTCTTGGAACTATGGCAACCTGGTAGGTTGGACAGAAAAGTTGAGCTGGCCGGCCAGATCCAAGTGGCTCCAACTTCGAGTCCATGAGACGGGTTTTGGGGGGTTTAGTAGACAGGGATTCTGTTTCACAGATCAGAAATCTGCCATGGATCTCCAGATCCTCCAGCTGTGGATGTCTCTTGTGCCATGCTTGTTTGTTTTTTTCTGTTTTGTTTCAGGCTGACTCCACCACTACGACCACGACAGGGCGGGAATGGAGAGAGGGAGAAGTGGAGGTGGTTGTTCAACTCTAGCGCCCACTTCACTATCTTTGATTTCATGCGGAAGTGACCAGCACACTTTCTCGGTCAACCTTCTGAAATGAGCCCATCTATACCTACTAGACTACTAGATGGATGGTTGGAAGTTTAGGCAACCAATGAGTGTGGGAAGAAAGCACGTTGAAACTGCTGAATGTTCCAAATCCAATTGGGGAGCACCGATACCCTTGAAACTCCAGGTTAGAGGTAGTTTGAAGAATCCAGCTTGTGAGGCAAATCTGTTTAGTCTACGATCAGCACCCTCACTGCCAGGTCTTGTTTAAGCGCCTTGTGCGGCCATAAGAGATCAAGAAGACCTGGCGACGTGAGGGTGTTGGGTCCACAGCATCCGTCCGGGTTCAGCCAGAGCAGGGCGTTCGACAACGAAGGGCATGTCCAATCAAAGGTGATTTGACCATCTCCTTTGCCTCACTATGCCTCACTACAAACTATATATATAGTGTTTTTGACATGCTGTTTTGACTATTTCGACGATGGTTTCTTCTTCGACAGTAGTATGGCAAACACAAAGCATGCAGATAAAATGACTCAGATTAAAGAGAACCAAGTTCTGTCGACCAGGTCGGTGTCCACCGCGGCCAACTCCACGAGTGCGACCGATCAGTCCACCACGTCAGCATCGACGCAGGCGGGAGACTTGGTCCAGCGGGACGGGTGACTTCCATGATCTCCGGATGGGCTCCAACCACCATCTCCTCAGCTTCAGGGACAGGAGCCCACCACCCAACCCCACCCCAATCTTCTCAGGAGGTGGGCTCCTGGAGCCCTAGGGGAACAAAAGACCCCCGTGTCATAGACAGAAGTATGTAGAATGCCACTAAAAACGTAGACAGGACACCGTGCCACTATCTATTTGGGGAACACTAGACTTGCAATGGGTAAATGTAATGTAACTATGCCAGTCCCATGGATGGATAAATGTCATGGTGGTTGGCAACCTTGAGAGGTTTAACTTGGTGAGCGTCGGTGGCCAGACGCTTTGGACACTTGGTTCAACTTGGTTTGTGGGTTTGGTATTCCTCCCGATCCAGCTACATAGCTTTCAGAGTAGATGGCACAAACCCTTACATGTCTTTTTAGATTGGGGTTCACATAAACCACCAAACTTAGGGAAACTTGTGCCATCTACTCATCTACTCTGAAACGAAACAACTGTATAATCCATCATAGCCTCCATTTGATTCACCCTAGCTGCCGGTGGCTCAATCCTTCCTGCGGGATTCGACGACCTCAGCCCTGAGCTCAGTGGTATTTTTGGAGAGATGGAGGCGTCCTCATAAGCCCTATGGATCCACCTTCTGGGAAGGCGATTGGAGACTATTTATGTAGGCGCCAGGAGGGTCCAATTACCTTCTGAGAAGGTATGTGGATCCATAGGGAAGGATCCTCAGGATCCCATTCTGAGACGCCATCGATGGGGATCTCGTTCAACTTCACCGAACGCTTCGATGCTTGACCGTTCATCGGTTTGGGTAGTACCGTACTTCATCGGTGGCCACGGTCGGTTTGGGCATGGATTTCTCAAAAACAATATGTTCAATCTCTTGACAAGCTGGTGGCCCCAAAATTGAGAACATGTTGCTGCGTGGTGCGCTCTCTCTCTCTCTCTACTCTATACTCAAAACTCCACCGTTGGATGGGGTGTTCCATGAACCGACCCCAACATGGGTGCCAGACCGTGAGAAAAATGTGAGAGCTGCCCCAAGGTCCTCAACACCGAATCTTGAGGGTTTTAGGTTTTAGGTGCAGTATGAGTGATGGCCTCCACCCTACTAGCAATGGCCTCCAACCTACTAGCAAGGCCATCCTCAGGTGTAGGACACATTGTTGTGCTTCCAAAAGTGCAGGAAACCTCTGTCTCGTTGGATCCGAACAAGGGTCGCACAACATCATCATCCATTTTTGACTGTTCTGCAGAATCCCAGAACAAATAGATCTAAAGTTTAAGCGTTGAAAACTACCAGAAGTCACAAGACGGGGTGGTGTGGTGTTCGGTCCCATCCAGTGGCCGTGGATGTGACAGGGGCACCTGTACTCCTTCCTCCTTCCTCCGTTCGTTCGACTGGCACCGACCCCGACATGGAACTGCTGGTATACCAACTATACCACCAGCTCAAGGTTCCTGCAGCACGCTTCTGCACCCAAAAAAACCGCATGGGTGTGTGGAAGGGACAGGGACTTCATTAAGACAAGAAGGGAAAGGAACAAAAAGCGAACACTTGAGAAGTTCATCCTTTGAACTTTTCCTTTTTTCTACCTGACACACACACACACGGATGGGAAGTGGATGGGTGTTGGTGGTTGGAAACACCCTGCGCCCTATCCTCCCTATCCTCCCTCTCCTTTTGCCGTCTCACGGGATCTTTGCCACCGGAAGCCACCCCAGGCGATCACTGAAGGTGAAGGAGAGACCCGTAGACTCGGGGAGGAGTTCTGGAGAGCCGTTGGGCCGTAGGGTATTTTCTATCTTTCTGGTTTTTGTCCGAGGTTACAATCTACAGGAAAACGATCAATTTGAGGGTTCAAAGTCAAAGCAATTCATGGATGTCGCACCAGATTCAGGTCCGGAATAGCCGGGATGCAGAAAAATAGATCTGACCAGAATGAACAGATGTCAATGGTCAGCTGAGTGAGATGAACATCCCAAGTCTCATCTCCGCGAGAAAAGGCCCTCATGAAGATCTTTTCCGCCACGCCTTGGACAGAAGTTCTGGCAAGGGAAGAGCGGGAAGGGAAAGGAGTCCCTTGATCTGGATGTACTTGGTCTCACCTTTCCCCAAACTAAACACTCAGGTGACTCAGGTGAGATGGCCATCTCTGACATTTGCTTCAAATCGACCAAAGATGACAAAACGGTGATGGGAAAAGTGTTTCCCTTAGGTGAGCTTCATAGCGGTTTCCACTGTCTTACTTCTAACATCTTCTTACTATCTCTCGAGCACCGAAGCATGTGCAATGATATGGGCTCTTTGGCTGTGGAGCGGGCTGACAGGTGGCGTGGGCAATGGCGCAATGGGCGGCCGCCCGGCAATCGAACGTTTCCTGATCGTGTCCGACAATGAAACACCTAAAACCCAAAAAACAAAGACAAACACAATACATAGGTGCTCTTGGTAGGTCTATACATTAGGTGTCTTTTTCTTTGTTTGATCTTTTTCTTTGTTTCTTTCGTGGTTCCACCAGGCCTTTGTTGAGGTGGTTTTGATCAAAATGGTTTCGAAGAGAAGGTTTCCACGGGCGACTGCAGAGGATTGACTAACGCACTGACCTGGCGTCCCGAAGCGTGGGATGGCTGAGCTCGCTGTTCGCCTCCAAGCAGGGTACAAGGGGTGTTTGTACTGGCTGTAATTGTTTTTGCTTATGGCTACAGGCACCCAGGGACCTTAATTCTTTAGATACCTCGGGCAACTGCAGCCTTCAATTCTCCAAGCAAAAACGTTCTTGGAGGGAAGTGAAAGCGCTGAAGGCAGTCTTTTTCTAGAGTCTTTTCTTCGCATGCAGCGTCTCCATTCGATGTCCTTATATAGTACACCATTAATAGTGGTGGCTTTTGATCCTTTTGGGGCAGAATTGGAACAATTTGGAATCACCATTGATTTCGCTTAAGAGCCTCATTGTGTCTCGGGACCGTGGCCCACCAAGGACACGTCTCGCTGATCGCACTGCTGTTTCTGGGATGGGCAGTATGCAATTGATGGAGCTGATTGCCGGTACTTCCCAGCGGAAACTACTGAAGCCATTTTTCCCACGTGCTGCGCAACACGTCTTCTGCCAACGTAGAAGATGTGACAGGGCACGTGTGACCTACTTGTTTGGACCTCCTCGGTCCAATCTGTAGCTGGGTCAGCAGAGCTGCGAATCCATGCGAAACCGATGTTTCATCACTCGTCGGTCCGTCGCGAATCGCCGGGCGAATCGCCAGACCGGCGACATCAACCTTCGCAGGTGGACCACCCACCATGGTTTATTCTTCTTTTTTTAAAACCCCTATAGGGCTCCAAGCATATCCGGTTCGGTGGTGACCTCGATGTTCCCCAAAGACGACTGGTCAGTCGACTTGACCGACCCGTACCGACAGTGGAAAGGTCGGTCACCTCGGTTCGGTGACCGTTCGTAGCGTCCGATCGCTCCGTTCGTAAGGCCAGGAGCGGTTCGTAGCGTCCGATTACATATAATGTAATATATAATGTAATATATTCATCCCATATCATCCCAATATCGTCAATATCCCATCTGTTGATTTCAAGCACCTTTTCAGCATGTGGATCTGCAGGGAACACTGTAGGAGAGTCGTCTTGTTTTCGCTCCAAGCACCAGATCGACTAGACTCATGTCGAGGCGGCCACGTGCTGAATTTCGCATGTCACGTGTAAAGAACATACAAACAACACACCCGCACTTTATGTTTTGATATGTTTGATTATTTAACTTTACCTATATACATGGTGTCTATTCCAGGGGTCAATATAGGTAATGCAGGTGTGTATTATAAGATTTCCCATACATGGAGCAAGAGCAACACACTCGAAATCACGGTGAAATCCTGTGCTTTGGATCCCAAAAGACACGACCACTGGCTACCGCCAGTGGCTACGTTTCCTGCGGCGAGCTTTGTTAACCCAGTGAATTGCTGTTTTTCTTCCCACCGGCCGGAGAGGCGGATGGGAGTCTTTGAAGCATGGTGCAAGGTGCAGTGATACAATTCAGGTTTCATCTATTACAGTAACTCTAAAGTGGCGTTTATTTGTAGATATACGATGTTCAACCTGCTGACAAAATGACTCATGTTCTTTCAACTGAGTTAAAACCACCAACGAGATAAGAGATTGACATTGATGGAATATTCGCTTGAAACTGATTATCAAGATTGCAAGGGTCTACAGCAACTTGTTTATCACACAGCCAATGTTCGTTTGATCCAATTTTGCCATCCAGTTTGGCACTTTTCCACACAACTTCATTTGTGTCCGCACATTCGTGTCAGCACTGTCTTCACTCTTTCTGGACGCTTCCGGCTTCGCACACCCCACATCCAAGGAAGTCCAAGCAGTGCTCAACAAATCTCAACATATTCAAACACGTGGAATACACCTTTAGACAATGACATGTGCAAACAGATCAACCAACACGCTTTCCGACAAAGACATCTCGGCTGCATCTCATGTTAGTACCTGTCCAGGTCCTTCAATCCAAATGGGTTATGGAAGTTGGTTCGAATGAAATTGAATGTTCCTTGCAAGACGACCCTTCCAATCCAAGGATGACCAGTGCTCCAATGACTACCTCATTAATTATACTGTACTATAGTCACAACTTAAGTTTACACCTTACTTGCACTCAGTTCGACCGCCTACATTTGACAATTTGACTTGTATAGATCTTAGTAGACAGACAAAAAAAGATTGTGGACAAGCGTGTTTGACCAAACACATGCTGCCCATTTCTGTATTATTGCCCCTGGTTTCTTTTTTTTGGCCCACCCGTGCTATTTTTTTGTTGTATGTTGTTCGAAACAAAAAATACACCGAAAAGGTTCTGAACCGAGAAAGCGCCGCGCTTTCGAATAATCAATCTTCAAGAATCTTAAGGATAGGTTTGAGAATCTCCAATTTTCCATCTCGTGGTCATGCCAGTTGGTGATTTTCCCTGCATGCTGAGCTTCCATGGGCTTTCATTTTTCTTCTATCCCGTTCACGGCTGGTTTCAGCATTGCGATCATTGATGTTTCGTTCGAGAAGAAGAGAGAAACGGCCGTCGCATCGGCCAGTTCACGGCCGATGGGTTTCGGGAGGTTGGACTGCCCAACGAGGACATCCGTTGACCCAAAGTCAGTCCCGCAGCATCTTTGGGCCGTGGAGTTCGGCTCACGGCCCTACAAGAACTGGGGTGTTCAGTTGCCTGCAACATCAAAATCCTTGCGCCATGTCTTCAGAGAATATACATTTTTTGCTGTAAATTGTTTACTTGGCCAAATGAGCAGCCGCGTGGAATAGCCTGTCTCCCACACCCAATTGGGGTGTCTCACGGGGGGTAGACTGTCTCACTCTGGTTGCGACGCAGTAGGAGTAGGATCTGATGCCATAAGAGTAGGATCTTGTCCCTTTGGGCTTTGGCCAGCTCAAGTGATTCGCTGGTTCGGAACCCGAAGTCAATCGTTTGAGGCTGTGCCGCCCATGGACGACGCCACATCAAACGTGAAAAAGCTCGCGCTCATGTCGATTCGCCCGTCCGTTTGCCGCTGTGCGTGTCAAAGTTGACAGTCAGCGGCAGCGGAGTCAGCAGCGGAAGGAAGGAAGGAAGGAAGGAAGAAAGGAAGGAAGGAAGGTCCAGAAAATCTTTGAGACGAGAAAACTGAAGGGTCTTGACCTTTCAATCTTATTTGGTTCTACACGCTTACTTCAAGGCCCACCCGGCATCCCATGACAGGTTTTTCAGGATGAATTCTGAAGAACGATCTCGGCGTCACGCCCTTTCTCTTCGAAACCCCGGAACGGATAGAGAATGTAAGTGACTGACTTGATTTTCACATACGACGTAAGTGACTGATTGCCCTTCTGAAGGTCTTGAGGAAAAAATACATAGCCTAAAACAATGAGGTACGTGAGCTTACGGCTTTTCAATGGCCTGGCCTGGTGTTCTGGAACAAACAAGTTTAGACTTTAGCCATTATATTCCAGCTTGGGGATTGCTGGGGTATGGGCCACAATATATGAGCATTGTGCCAACGATGTTTCAATATCTCAATCTCAGTAATTAGGATCTTTTATCAATCTAGAAGGTTTGAGAAGTTGAATCAATCCAGAACTCATCTCAATGCAGTTGAATTAAGTACTCTTTCTTACCCTGCCGGCCAGGTTCCGCGTCGCAAAAAAAACGATCACCTTCCAACCGAGCCCCATGTGTGTGTGTGTGTAGAGAGATGGTGCTTTAGCGAACCCCAAGCACCCGGCTTTCATTGAGAGAGTCCGGGTAGACACCGCCCGGCCACGGAACGCCACGGCGAAAGCCACGGCAGTTTAAGGGCTCTACACTACGAAGGCATCATATGGATGGCATGGCCTTTGGAAGACCATTAAGCAATACTAAATCCTGGTGAACTTCTTTTCCATGTGAGTTTTCTATAGCAAAAATATTGGATGGCACACAGTTTAGAGTAATCCTGCAAACAATTGGTGGGTTGTGTCAGGACTATTCTATTTGAGGGTGTTGTCCAAGATGGCATTGTTAAAACAACAACAACAACAACAATAATTTTTGGTACGCATCACTGAAGCACCCAAAACAATCCTAGACCTTCCATGGGGCTGGCATATTTGCTGCATTCACTCCTTTTCAACCACCATTTTGATTTAATATAACATAACATAATATAACATGTCCAGTCCCATTTGCAGTGTTTGGGAATTCAACACCTCTTTTCAGTCCTATCAGTCCACCGACCTCGACAAAGGAGGTCATCCCCCTCCCTTGCGTCAGTCGGTTGCACCCAGTGGTGGAGCCGAACGCTTCCCGGCCCGACAGGGTTCCCGGTCACGAGGTTTCACCCGGAAGAGACGGCCGGGCTTCAAGATGAGACGGGCCTCGGGCCGGCGAACAACAGGGTGTTTCAGGGTGGTTGCAGTGGTTTTACTGGTGCACTTTTGAGCTGTTATAACTTCCCGGAGAACCTAATTTAATGCCAAATGCAATGTGTTTGTTTTTTTGTTGCGTTGCGCCAAAAGGTTGACATTGTCACCCAAAACGACACCACATTGCGATTGCACACTTCTTCTTGGCTCAAGTTGTGCATCGGAATTCAGAGCAGCTGAATGTTTATTCATGAAGTTCTGTTCAGACCACTGTTCAGACCCTGCAGTCGGGGTCGCCAAAGAAATAGGGCAACTCAAAGGTAGCAAGTTCTTAGGCGGCGCACTCCTCTATTGTTGGATGAATCCGTTTCAGTTCAGAGATTCCGATACTTTTTGGAGGGAGAATGAAAAACCAGTTCTTCAAGTGCCTCTGGAGTGACCTGCAGGCAGGGGTCGGTTGCTTTGTTTCTTTCACTCAAAAGAGTATAGCATCATATCTCATCGGCTCGAATCCAGAAGAGCGCAAGTTTGCGCTGCTGACACATGTTTCAATCCATCTTTCACAACAATGTTGCCAGCTTTGTACCGGGTTCAGAACTAACTGGAGGATTTCTAGAAACCGTCACAACTGCTGGATGGTTTGGGCCTGAGCTATGTCAGACACCAGTTGGGGCTGCCAAAGCCTCGAGGAGGGACCAACGGAGAGAAGACGAACGGCCCGATGTCGGTCGCATCGGTGATGTCACATCGGATCACGAATGCCAAGGCTGATTTATGTCTACAGTATATTATACTTATATATATGATATATACATGTACATAATTCATTTATAGTATAGTGTACAATAGTATAGTAATTAATACTAATACAAATTATTACATATAGAAACATGAAACATGATTAAACACTATGAATACTGCAATCTTGTGGCAACTGGAGCTTCTCTTGGTGCTTCTTCTCTTCGAGTTTGGGTCCGATGAAAAGCTGTGGAGTTCTGCGGAGTAAAGGAGTGGTTCAACGGGGGTACCTGGTATGTCACCGGTCACTGGACGTCACTGGAACCTCGGGTTCGGGGTTCGTTGGTTCTTTGGGGTTCATGTGAACTGGTAGGGTGTGCTCCTGAAAAATCTAAGCCGATGAGAATATTCGGGAATTCATCGGTGGTCACCCGGTGATCACAACCGACTGCCCTTTTCTAGACGATCCAAGTCTTCAGAGCTGTTCTTTGAAGGGATCTGACCCTCACAGGGATCGATCTCTTGATGACCCGAGCAGTAGCAGTGCGACCCGAGCGCGCCATGTTGGA